CTTCCAATATTACTAGATTCATACTTTGCACATTCCATGTTCCAATTATTAATGGATGTTTTCAGCTATTTCTTCTCCTTTTGAGTCATGCCACATCAGCAAATGGAGGTCCTGAAAGCTTTACTCTGTCCACATCATTAAGATTGGCTCTACTGTGAGGAGGTAGCCCTTTCCCAGTTGTATTTTGAGTGCCTTTTGACCTGAGGGGCTCATCTTCTGGCATGATATCAGACAGTGTTTCAGGACTATTCACAAATTTTTCCAGTAATATGTCAGACAGTGTTTCACTGATATTCATAAGGTTGTCACTGCCCAATTCTTTGAGAAGTAGATGGCTTCTTCTTCCAAATCTATCTTAGTCTGGATGCTCCCCATAAACCTATCCACCACAGGTAACCTGCTGGCATTTGAAACACTAGTGGCATAGTCTCCAGCCTTACAACAAGTCACAAGCTCCTAGAGTAAGACAAAGTGACAGACAAGTTCGTCTCCCTTAGTTGTTGCAAACTGCTCCTCTCACTTCTTGGCCTCCCTGACTATTCTGGCCAGCTGCTGATTCCTGCTTCCTTTCCTGGCCTCCCCTAGGGGAGAAAATTAGGAAAAAATTAAAACACATGTATTATTAGTATTAGAGTCAACTGCTGGGAATTCCATAATATTCTCTAAAAGTTTATTTACTTTCAGGCTTGTCTTTCTCTTTAGCTCCAGTTTCCTGTAATTAATTCTTGGATGCATCATTCATATTAACATGGCATTTTTCATTAACAATTAGTTTGGATAGCCCCTTGATTCATTCATATTATTCAGTGCATTCTTCTTGGGTCCAGATCACAGTTAATGAAGCAGAGAGGACAACTAGTGGGCTGGCTTGCATTACTGGGACTGTTATGTTATTAGTTGGTTCTTCTCAGTTTGTGTCAAGATACTAAATGCCTATCACTCAAATACTGGCATGGGGTGAATGGCCTTCTGTTCCCTCCTGCCTCTAAGTGTCATCATAGGTCATTAATTGTTGATACTAGGGGGAAGGAGGAGGATCTGGTACCAATGCTGGCTCACAGTATGATATACTGTAATTAAGAGTACAAAACTTGAATGCTTTATTTTTTAACCAGTGCTTAAGTACAATGACACCCATACTACAGTCAATTTCTTGACTGACTAGAGAATTAAACACAATGTAAAAGGTCTTCATTGCCAATAAGAATAATATTCATGCAGATGAATTTTAAGGAAAATAGTAAAGCTGTGCCTGAATTTCCTAACCTAAAGTAAGTTGAAGGAGCTCTGGTAGTGTAGTGAGTGAGGCATTTGGCTGCTAGTCCAGAGGATGAAAGGTTCAAAGCCACCAGCTGATCTGTGGGAGGAAAATGAGGAAATCTACTTCCATAAAGAAGTACAGGCTTTGAAACCCAATGGAAGTCACTATGAGTTGTAATGGATTCTAATGCAGTAGTTTTTTTTTTTTTTTTTTTTTTTAATTTCAAGTAAAGCCAATTTAATTTTATGTACAACACTTGATAGTCTGTTTTCCAAGGGCAAATTTAGGCTACAGTCAGAGATAGACTAAGAAAGTAATGAGGGTTTTGGAAATGGAAAGCAGGTTTTGGAAAAAGAAATAGTGAGAGAGTTGGGAACTATAACTATTTTAAAATTTGACAGTAGAGAGTAGAACAGAATAAATATAAGTTAATGGAAAAACACAAATAAAAATAGCATGATCATTCTGGAAATTATCTTCATAATCTTGCATACATGACTGATGGTTAAAGGGAGAGAATGTAAACAATAGAAAAATAAGAATTCATTGCTGTTGGAGTTGCCTAAATTCTATATTCTTATATCCCTCTGCATTATATATATATATATATATATATGTAAAACCAGAAACCAAACCCACTCTCATTGAGTCATTTCTAACCCATAGTGACCTCCACTGGGTTTCCAAGGCTATAGGTTGCCTCATCTTCCTCTTGTGGAGCAGCTGGTAGGTTTGAACCACCAACCTTCTGGTTATCAGCCAAATGCCTTAACCACACTGTCACCAGA